GGGCTTTGGTGTATGGAGGGTTTGGCACGCGGGGAGAAACGAATTTTACATGGGAGTGAGGATTTCGGGCTCAAGGTTGGCAGTTAGTTTCAGTTGTCTGTTTCAGTTTCTCACTTCTGCGGGCTAGCACGGTTTGTGGGTACTGCCGGGTGCTTCAGTTGCGGGCCGGGCATGAGGTTTCGGCACACGTTTTGGGTGAGGACCTGTGTTCCCCACCGCAGTGGTGTGTGTGTGTGTGTGTGTGGGTGCGTGTGAGCCTTGATTCTAAGCTTAAGGTTGTTGGACATTGCAGGGGGCCGCAAGTCTACCATCGGAGCTGCGGCTACCGAAGACCTCCGAGGGTAGGTGTGAAAACGTACCTGCAGCTGGAATGGCAATCAGGCAAAGCCACAAACCTGGCATGCCGACGATGAAGGTTTAGAATACTAAGGAGCTACTCAGGTTCAGCAGATACTGGATCAATGGTGGCCAAAGGCCTCCTATACCAATTTCGCTGCCACCGTCTCCGTGTGTGTTCTGGGGTGCCAATCATGCTCACGAGAGTGTCAGTGCACATTTGGGACCCACAGGGTGCTGCCGGAATGGTTACCGGGAAACTAGTTGGAGGGCGTATCTGAAGGCTTTCTATGCCGGGATGCCAGCAGATACACATTGAACCAACATTGCTTGGCATCACACCACCAGAACGTGTCGACTTGCCCATCGAAGGCCGCCGTCGCGAAACGGTTTGCCGCCTGAAGATGCTGATCTCTTATACTGTTGTATATATGTGCATACATACAGACATACATACATACATACATACATACATACATACATCCGTAGGTATACATACTCATATAGACTAAAAAGTGCATGTACTTTCGCCACTTATACGTATATTATCTACCTGCCTGTATCTATCTATCTATCTATCTATCTATCTATCTATATATGTTTACATGCATACTTACCTACAACCATACATACATACATACCTACCTACATGCACGCATGCATACATACATACACACATACATACATACAAAGACAGATGGATATAAATGCTCAAGTAGATGTATATGTATGTATGCTTATACATATGCACACACACACACATATATATATATATATGTATATATATGTGTATGTGTGTGTATATATTTACTTATATGCAGGTATGTATAAAGTGTGTTTGTGTACTCATGAAGACATAGGTTGGTATGTGTATATATATACACATTCAACATTGTGTATGTGAATATCTATATATATATATATATGCTTATTCAAATATATGTAGAGATAAGTTTTTATGTTTCTACACATGTGAATGTAACTGCCTATATCTATACGATGCCTATGTACATCTTTATGTAGATGTGTACAGAATCCTATATATAGATATGTACAACCATAATGTGTGCAAACACAAAAGAAACAAATAACGAATATTATATGTACAAGTATCTGTACACATATATATATATATATATATATAATATATATATATATATATATATACAAGCTCAAGGAAGTTCGATGACGGCAATGCATCTAGGGAATGATTCCTGAGCCTGCAAGCCCCCAACAACTTGGCAGAACCCTGACTCTACGCTATTTCGCAGGCTGCCTCTCCAGATGCCGAAGCTGTGCCGAAGACAGGGAACTGACCTGGACTTGCTTCTGAGATGTTGTCGCCTACGGTTCTGGTGCACTGCAAGACGCTTCCAAACATGTTCCGGCATGGACCTAAACCCGGGCCGGTCGCCCCGAACTCGTGAGCGCGCCATAGTAAGTGTGACGGTGATCACATAGCACAAGCACATGCGTGGAAATAACAAGAATAACTAGAAACTGGGAACCTTTAGCCACAATCGTGAACATGTCCGTAACTGGTAGTCAGTCGTGTCCTCCACCAACATTTCAGACATTTCAACGAGTCAGCCAGCAACACGACAGGTAGTCTGAAATCATGGGGAGTCGAATCCTTATGTGAATTTCCCAGAGGGTGCTTTGTCTGCCTAGTATAGGTCCTAGAAGGAGTACCACAGCTAAGCGCCCTGAAGTGGAACAATCCCGCACATCCTCTCGGCCCCAAACCCCACAGACACAAAGCACCAAAGTCGAGAGCCGGGGTACATTCCACATTGTCGAAGAAGGAGAGCTCGGCTACCGCCCAGTGCCTTGTTAGGGCTGGGTTTCGTCATGGGAGAGCTGGGTCCAATATTGGGGCCTTAATACAAAAGGAATAGGGTTTTGGGGCATATTATCCCTGAATCATAGTAAGGAGCCCCCATAAAAGTACTGGTAATTATCTAGGTCCCTATAAACCCTTCTGAAGCCTCTCAGACCCCGGACCCCTTCTTTTGAACCGTACGCCCTCTGGAAACCATACGAAACCTGATAAAGCTCCGCAGTCGAAGTCTACAGTGACTTGCCGTGCACGGGCGTTATCCCAAGAATATATGTGCATACATACAAAGAAGCACATGCGCACACATATATATATATATATATTTATATATGTGTGTGTGTATATTGAATATACCTTATATATATAATACATAGCAACATTCATATTATATTATATTTTATTATATTATACTATATATTATATTATATTATATTATATTATATTATATTATATTGTACAATTATGAGCTAAATAAAGGACACGCACTCACCCGATTGGCTGTTGCGTGTGTGCTCATTCGTGAACTGCTGCCTACATGCGCAGGAAAGCCCCAACGAGGGAAACCTTTCACGGTCTCAGGGATTCGGGCTTCAGGGATTAGGGGTTGAGGTTTTAGGGATTGGGGTTTAGGGTTTTTAGGTATTCGGGTGCATACCAGGAGGATCCTAGCAAGGCAACAGGTGCCAGCCACATACCACGAAAACCGGCGGCTCAAAGAGAAAGAACAAAGAAGTCTACCGCATCCTGCAAAGCTTCCCCGCAACACCCTGAATAATAACCTCTGAACTCACCCCCTAGAACAAGGAACAAAAGCCAACATTAACGCCAACATTTACATGACTTCGTTTTTAGAACCCGTACTGCTAAGCCTTAAAACCACCTTGACCCTAAATCCGATTCCCAAGCACCGGACCTCGTCATGCTGCTTTCGGATACCAATCGCCACTCCAACGACTGCGTTTTTCTTGGGGATATTTCCGGTTTGGGGGTAAAGGGGCCTTGTGGCGGCTTGGGCTGGAATGGTGTTTTCGGTGTACTAGAGAAGCATAGGGAGTGTAGCAAGATGTTAGAACATGTTAGCATCTAGAACAATATCAACATCTCATTCTGACCAATATATGGGCAGGACTCATCCGATGTGAAGTGCAGACTGCCAGGCGCGCGTTGGCAAACTTTCTCATAATCGCACATGGGAGACCATGAAAAGCTGCACTTGGCCAATATTCCCTTTAAGCGGGATTGTCGCATGGATTCTACCACTGTCTGCTGTGCACCCTAAACCGTATAACCCTAAAACGCTAAACCCAAAAAAAACAAAAACCCTAAAACCCTAAACCCAAAAACCCTAAAACCTTAAAACCCTTAACCCCTACAACCATAAAATAAAACCCCATAGACCCTCGTGAGGTTTGGGGGCTTCAGAGTTGACTTCAGCAGCCGAGGCCACGAGTATAAAGATAATGTAGGGGGGTTAATATTTAGAATGGGGTTTGGGGGTATAATATACTATGAATATAATAAGGACCCCCC